AACAGATCTCTGTTTCCTGAGTGGTCTCTTTTTACATGTAACCATTCTAACAGACATTCCCAATTTTGTCCCTCTCCCTCTATTGTTATCTTAGCTAACCGTGTCAGTGAGTCTACTTGATTGTTTAACAGATGAGCAGGGTTGTTATCTGTTTGGTGTGCAGCAATCCATCCTACAAGGAATGTTTTTTGTTTAGCTATGTTTAGGATCTCTTTCCATTTTTCTTGTTGCCACACTGATATTTGATTCACTTCCCATTGATTTTGTTCCCAAAAAGGGAGCCACTCTGTACATCCTTTGAATACTGCATAGGAATCTGTGTGAATGTATGTGTCTCCTTCAGTGTCTGCTTCCCTGGTAAATACACTCCATACTGCTACTAACTCCCCGACCTGAGCACTCCCTTCTCCTTCTGTCACTATCCTGTTCCCTGAATCAACATGTAGGGCCACGGCTCGATATTTCCACACTTTTCCTTCTCGTCTGGCAGAAGGATCTGTAAACCAAACATTTTTTAAGTGAGGTTCAAAAGCGGGAGCAGGTTTTATACAGGAAGGAGGAGGGTTTGAATCAGGTAGCTTACAAGATTGTTCTTGTATTTGGAGTATTTTTGGAACTCCTTCAGTTATTTGACGAGAGTGATAGTAATGATCAATTTGTGCATACCATCTCCGGACTGTTTCTCTCTGAGCTACCCCTGCAGAAGGGGGGGTTCCAGATATCACTGGCTTTAAAACCTTAAAACGCCCTCGCAGGATGATTGATTGGTGTCGAATTGTCTTCTCTGCTTCCTGCAGGGCTAAACAGACCACAAACAGGCCTTTTTCCCAAGCAGAGTATCGTTTTTCAGCATCTTTTAGGCTGCGAGAATGAAAACCAATGGGGCGAGTGGGACCTTCAGGTCCCCGCTGCCACATATGTATGGACAGACTGTGGATTGCAAATCCCCATTCAATTTGGAGTGGATCGGTGGGATGTATGGGCCCCAGAGTTTGGTATACATTAGCTTCAAAGATTAGTAATTTCAGGGCTTCTTCATGCATGGGAGTCCACTCCCATGTTGTTTTTTTTCGTGTCAGGTCATACAGGGGACGAGCGATAATGGAGAAATCTGGCACATGTTTTCTCCAAAAAACCAGCAAACCCAAAACATGTTGGAGCTCTCTTTTACTCTCTGGCATCTTTACTTGCTCTAGGGTGTTTAAGGTTTCAGGAGGGATGCACACTGCTCCTCCTTTCCACCATATACCTAGGAATTTTACTTCGAAGGAGGCAAGCTGTACCTTTTCTGTGGGAATTTGGAGCCCTAGACTTTCTAGGTGAGTGATAATATTTTTCTGGGTCTGGCTCACTGGTATGACATCAGAGCCACCAATTAATATATCATCAATATACTGATATATCTTAGTTCCTTCTTCAGGAGTAATTTGAGCTAGCTCCTGTGCGAGCGCATGATGGGCCAGGGTAGGGGAGTGTCGGTATCCCTCAGGTAGACGAGTAAAGGTATATTGATTACCCTCCCAGGTAAAAGCAAAACGATCTCGCTCTGCTTCCTGTAAGTGAACCATAAAAAACATATCTTTGACATCAATAGTTGCAAGAATTGGATGGGCTTGCTCCTGAATTGTAGCAATCAGCTCAGCTATGTTAGGTACTGCAGCTGTCAGGGGGCCACTGTTAGAGTTGAGCCGTCGATAATCTACTGTAAGCCTCCAACTTCCATTAGGTTTGCGAACAGGCCATACTGGCGAATTGTATGGTGAGTGTGTAGGGACGACCACTCCTTGCTCTTGCAGTTCTGCAGTTACTGGGGCAATTCCTTCACGTGCTCCTAAAGGAAGCGGGTAGGGTTTCACGTTTGTTATTTTGGAAGAAGGCAGACTTGGAGCGGTTTGTAACAGACAGACAGAGAGGGATGGGAGACCAAACACCCATTCTCTCCCTCTGGCATCTGTCCAGGCTCGACCCTTTAATAAATCTAACCCCAGGATGTTAGCTGGTAGTGGCCCCACAATCATGATCGTTTCTGTGGCTGTCTCATCTCCCGGTAACCAGCATTTTACTCGAGCAGTGTATTGGGGTTGGGATTTGCCAAAGGCATCAGTTACCCATATTTTTTTTTTGTCTGGCTTAATGCCACACAGGGTAGCAGCTTCAGTTTGGAGTGCTGAGACCTGTGCACCCGTGTCCACCACAAATGTAACCAAAGATTTAAAAGGGCCGAGAGGAAAAGTCATCACCATATCTCCCTGGTTGTTTTCTGTGAGCCTTCTCATGTAAACCCACTGACCGCTCCCCGGCTCACTTACTGGGAGCAGCGAGCCCCGTTTCCCAACTCGAGATCGGTTAAACTGATTTCTGGTGGGGCTGAGGGAACCACAGTGTTGGATTCCTGGGGAGGGTTGCCCCCAGGGGGTGACTCATGCTCTTTGATCTTATCCCACTGCTTTATCAAGTGTTCCAAATTAGCTGTGGGTAGTTTATCCATCACTTCTCGAGGAATTCCTTTCGCGATACCCTCCACCCACAAACTGTACCTTGTTCGCTCACTGGGTGTCGCATTTTGCTGACGATTACCTGGCAAAGGTGGTTTTCGGATCTCTCCTACCCTTCTGATATCTGTTTTTTGCTTAACACTACTTGTACCAGAGACCCCCAACTGTCGACCAGTAGTTACCAATTCTTGGGCTACCTCTAACCAGGTCACCCCCAGTGGAGCACCCCTTCTTCTGGGCCTGGGGGTTGTCATTATGCGCTCTTGTAGTTGTTTAGCATGAGTTTATAGTGCATCAGGCAGGCCTCTTATCAGGGCGGGAAATCTTTGTGGATCCGCTTCGAGTTCCATAGGGGAATGCCGCTGCGAGTCCAACAATCTTGTATGGATTAATTGGAGGCATGCAGCTTTTTGTACGCTTTCGACAATGTGGCCAATTGTGGGGGTTTTAATTGTGTGAGGATCTCCCCTTTCTATAGGGTCTAACCCGCCTGCCCAGTAAGCAGCTCTCTGGGTCAGCGGCCACGGTGCTCGGTTATCATTTGTGGTCAGGAAGACCCCTGGGCCCCAAAATCCTCTGGCCTCATCTTCACTTAACAAAATCCGATCCCCTCCTGTAAGGGACACCCTCCACACATATTCAGTCTCTGATTCACTGGCCTTACGACTGTATTTTTCTTGAATTTTGGCCAGTGCTTCCCCCGTGTACGGGGTAATTTGTGTGGTAGTTTGCCGATCTGCCCCCTGGCCAGTAGTTTCGGTTTTAATAAGGGGACGCATATGTATTACCTCGTCCTCCGGGTAACTTTGCTTCAACTCTTCTAATTCCCCAGAGGGGTACAGGGATTTGTTAACATCTACCGGTTTAGGGTATTTTGAATTAATGTCTCGCAGTTCACAATTTTTCATTTCCAGTATCTTTTTAAGCCTTTTATTTTGTTCCTCCTCATCTTCAAGGGCTGACTGAAGCAATGAGTTAATCTCTCTCTCTTTCTCCAGTGCCTGACGCTCAGCAGCTAACTGCAGGCGTTCTTTTCCTAATTGCTCCTGTAATGCCTTCATTGTCTCTTGAAGAGACCTTATCACCTCACCGGTAGATTTTTGAATAGCCTCTTTTTCTAGCTGGTCCTGTAAAGTTCTCATTGACTCTTGGAAAGATTCTATCACTTCACTTACAGATTTCTGAATAGCTGATTTTTGCTTTTGCACTGCTCTAAGGAACACGCCTAAGACAGCACCCACAAAAAACAGTTCTAAACCAAGGATAACTATCAGGAGGGAATAATCCCCATATAGCTCAACCTGGGGTGTCATCCCCTTTGCCTCAGTCATTAACCCAGCTTAGGTTAATGTCTTTCTCCCCCTTAACCCTCTGAGGGCTGGTTTGACTCTCTCCTGGAAGACCTTTCAACAGGTCTGATGTGCCCGGGTCGCATTGAGAGAAGAAAAATTCTCACAATAATTTTACAGCGAAGGGATAGTCACCATTTGACTCACCCTCGGTATCAGTTTTAGAATACACCGATTACTCCACCACATCCAAAGGATACTGCCGACTACGCCAAAAATGTTACGACCCGCCCCAGGAAAAAGGGGGCGGAGGGGGTAACCCAGGTTTTATCAATAATTCCTTTGGGGTGGATTAAAGCGAAACGACACTAAATAATCGGTGTTTGAAAACATATATTGACAAGATTTATTTTAACAATTCTGCATCAATAGGTATGTTAACATTTTGGGTGCTGTCATAACCTTTCTGGGGAGGAGAAAAATGCATAGGGGAGAGAAAGACAGGGTAAGAGTAAGGAAGAGCAAGGAAAAAAAAGATGAGATAATCACCGCCCACTGGATCCAGCGATGTCTTGATCCGCAGGTGGTGGGGGGAGAAGGAAAAACAAAAACCCTGCCAAAGCCCCAAAGTCACCAGTCAAAATCCATATCCTTAGCACCTCCCCCAGGGCGGGGAGTTGTTTTCATAGGTTGGTGTCCCCCTTTTTGGCGCGGAGTTCATGTGGAGGGCGTGGTAAACTCTGCTCTTCCCGCCTTTTCGGGGCTTGACATCTTCTGCACTGGAGGAGCAGGGGGATGGGCCCAGTTGCCCATCAGAAAGACAAAAGCCTGCAGAAGTCTCTTAGAATGCATAAATCATTAACTGTTTCAGTCTCTGACACATTGATAGTCAGATCTTCCTCCTGGGTCCATGTCACTGTTGGTCATGGCAGCTCTGCTCTCCTGGGACATTAACAGAGGGGCAAGAGATTTCTGAGGAGTAGCACTCCTGTCCTTACCTGTGAGGTAAAGTAGTGTGTGTGATAGGCCCTTTGAAACAAATCCTGCTGTCATGTTCTTGACCTTAAATACACTGTACTAAAGTTTATTGTAAGAGGTGAATTAATGAAAATAAACCTTTTATTTCTCTAGCATCTTGTTGTACTTTTGATTTTTTAAGTTGCTATACAGGCTGTGGCTGATAACACATGTTCTGTGGTGCCACAGAGTGAAAGCTTTAAATCCTAATGATTCTTTTGGCCTGTAGCAATTGTTTCTGTTTTAGAACATTGTCCTTCACGTACTCGTGAGCTTTGACGTTGTTCATGAAGTAGCAGACTGTAGGAGTGCCGGTCGAACCTGGAACATGCAAGGAGGAGGTTAGAATACTAATGCTGATGGTTTCCCCCTCGGCAGCCTTTGGGGACAGCTTCAAAGCTGTGCTGCACCCACCTTGCCCAGCAAGCAGGCGATGTACTGCCTCCTATTCTGCGGGTCGTGAGCAATCCACCTCAGCACAGCCTCGAACACGGTTTCTTCTCGCTTCACGTTGAGCTCGTCCTTCTCGATGATGTGTGCCAGCTCCTCAGCAGAGAGGTCTAGGAACTCCTGGGACACCTGGGACACCTCCTCGAAGTGGTGCAGGATGTACACACCAGCGGCTGCGCGCAGGTCAGGGCAGTGGTAATAGTCAGTGAATCTCCAGATGCCAATGCAGTTCTCAAAGCACAGCCTGGAACTGAGGAACTCGCAGCACAGATTGACGATGCCCATGACGTTGAACTGGTCTGCTGCAGCCAACAAACTCTCAACGTTGTCCTCCGTGATCAGTACTGTCCCAGTGTAGGCGTAATTGATGATGAGACCCATCATTTCAGCTGAAACACCGGGGATTTGATAGACCATCTTGTCTGCGCTGCCCCAGTTGGGAAACAGAGTCCTGAAAACACAGCACTGCTGCATTAAATCCTGTCCTTGGGTCCCCTGTGTTTCCCGAACTCCCAGGGCAAGACTTTAGGCACTGGCAGGAGCCCTGCTGGGAGGCCCCATAGTTTATTAATTAATGTTTTACTTGCTGGTTGTTTGAAAAAGGAGATACAGCCTCTGGCTGGGGACAGGGAGCACCAGGGCGAACAGCCCCCATGCTTCCACAGGAATCATAAAATCACGAAATGGCCTGGGTTGGAGGGGACCTTAAGGATTATCCCATTCCAACCCCTGCCATGGATAGGAACTCCTTCCACTAGACCAGGTTGCTCCAAACCCCATCCAACCTGGCCTTGGACTTCCAGAGATGGGGCAGTCACAGCTTCTCTGGGCAACCTGTGCCAGGGCCTCACCTGGCTCACAGGGAGGAATTTTTTCCAAATATCTAATATAACCCTCTGTCAGTGTGACGCCATTCCCCCTTGTCCTGTCACTCCAGGCCCTTGTAAATAAATCCTTGTGTTTCCAGTACTGACCTGAAGTAGACACTGCAACAAGAGAGGATTTGTTTGTGAGCCTTGAATTCCACTCCATCCACGCTTATGATCACATCACAGAATCTCCCTTCCAGGCGGAGCTCATTAGAGATGCTGCAATTCCTTTCACTCATCTTCCTCTACATGTTGGAGGATGACTGTCTGGTGGGTGCTGAGCTATCCCCCACGTTGGAGTCAGAGGCAGTGGACCTCGCTGACGTGCATGGTGTCAGCACTCTGGTGTTGTCTGCAAACATCCAGCGCTGAACCCACTCGCTGGCTCTGGATTGTGCCCCGTGATGACATCACAACCACAGGGGTGACCCACGCCCAACATTCCCTGGTTGCCCGCAGCCTTCACTTCCCCTCGGCCCAGGTTATGCCGAACCTTGGGCCTGCACAATGTTAATGGTTGCTTGGAGCAAAATCGTCTGTGTGATCCCCCAGCATAACAATGATTAATAATAATAAATTGTGGGGGGAGATGGCAGGCCCATGGAAGCCCTGGGCCCCCTGGAAGTGGAAGAGCTGGAGGCATTGAGGGGAGTAAGACCGTTCCCCTGAGAAAGGTGGAGGTGGCTGCCTATTCCCATGGAATTGGACAGCACAATGTGGGGGGAAGTCACAGCCCCACAACTGAAGTCTGAGGACTTTGGAGTATTGTGGAGTGTTGGGCCGTTTTTCATGGGAGCAGTGAAGCCAACCAGATAATCCCCATGGACACAGCCTTGAGCTGTGTGCAGGTGCACATTCCTTGGTATTTGTGTAGAAAGATGTTTATGTTATATGTGTGAGAAAGTAGAGGTAGAAAATCCTAATAAAAGGCTGTCTGCTGCTCTGAGCAGACAGACATCCCTTTGTCTCACCATCCTCGTGTGTGTTGTGTGTCTTCTTCCCCCCTTGGACCGGGACTCCTTCGACAGATACCCAGCGACAGCTGGTGCCCCGTGTGGACCAGACGAACAGAAAAAAGACTGTCGACTATTCCCTGGGTCGTAGGGGTATCGCGGCCGGAGGCAGGTGAGCTGCAGGGCGAGGTGCAGCAGGGTCTTGGTACTCAGGAGCTGTATAGCAGCGGGGTGCGCTGCAGGACCCGGGTCCGATCGTTTTCTACACCTGCAGACAAGTGTTTCTGCCGCACTTGAGGCACGAGTTGCCTGGGAAGCCTGGGTGCATCTGGCACTTGGTAGGGCGCAGGTGAGCTCCTGGGCACCATGGGGGCAGACCATGTATGCAAACGACAGGCGTGTGTTTATCGCCTGGAAAGCTTCGTTATGGCGTTTTGGTGTTAGACAGACGAAGCTAAGTTATGTCGCTTGTTACTTTTGTGTCTTCGACTGAGAGGGAGGCTGCTTTGCCTGGGAGGACATTAGAGTACTAAAGAAGAGGGGCCGGGCGGAGCCGAAGGGAGCCGAAGCGGGATCGGAAGTTGCGGAGCGGGGCCGGGACCAGCCGAGCGGCCCCGCCGAAATGGACCCACTGCTAGAGACTCGGCAGCATTTGTCCAAGATAACCAAGGACAGCTACGGCATGAATGCGCTGCTGATGGCCCGGGAGACGATCTTGTGACCATAGCGGCTGAATTTCACCTTAAGGAGCTTTCTACGTCTCCTCCGGACGGTACCGCGCCTGTGTACCCAGCGCCGGGTGCCTGCGCAGCCGGGTCTGGTCCGCCCGCTGCGGGTGCCTGCGGGGTGGCGCCGTGTCCGGCTTCGGCGCCGCCGAGTCCATCTGTGCCCGCGCGGGCAGCGGCAGCCGTGCTGCGGCCCCGGCGGCAGCGGCCGCAGCCCTGGGTGCCAGCAGACTGGTACCAGCTCCGGTCCCAGGCGCTGGCTCCGGGCGGAGCGGCCCCGGCCCCAGCGGCCCCGCCCCCGGCCCCAGCGGCCCCGCCCCCGGCCCCGGCGCGGCGGGCTGGCGGCATCGGCCGCGGCTCTGTACGTGATTGCGCTGCCCCGGCTCGGAGCGGTACGCCCTCGCATGCGCCGGCGGCGGCCCCGGTAACGGCGGCCGCGGGCCTCTGCGCAGCGGACCGGGGGGCTCTGTTTTCCCCCGCGTTGCCGACAGCCGTGGTCCCCAGCGGTGTTGCGGGGGGGTAGCGGGCTGGTAGTGGCGGCCGCGGTGTCAGGCGGTGCAGAGGGGGGGCTGTCTGTGTTCTCCCCTGTTTTACAACCCCCCCCCCCCCTCCCCCCCCCCCCCGGGTCCCCCCCCCCCCTTCCTCCTCCCCGGAACGTGTCCATCTGCAGCCGTTCCTTCCCTCCTGTGTATCATTCTTTCTCAGCAGACCATGTAGATAACTTCCGACATAAGGAGAGCAAATTTGACTTCTCTTCCTGATTTTTCTCCGAAAAACCCCAACATCTATTCCCCCTCCTCCCCCTTCCTCCCTCCCTCTTCCCC